ATTCCTGCTTCCACCTACACTGCATTCTGGTCCCCTAAATCTGCTATGAAGTACTTAATGACCATATGATTTGCATTTAACATCATTGATGCTGTTCTCTATATCCATTCCTTTCTCATTCTCTAAAAAGTATTCACTGACATTCACTATCTGTTAACAGTGCAACAGTTGGTGCTTCAGTCAGTATGTTAGCAATTATGAATGCTGACATTTGGCCAAGACGCTATTCCAACATCTGTTTTACAGCAATATATGACAGGGATCTGTAATGACAGGGGCTGAGGATGTGGGTTGGAAGTCACACTTGAAAACCCCAGACATTTTGTGCAGGCTGAAGAAAATACAAAGCATTATGAATTCCTTGCCTAGAAGTTTAGAGAAGGACGTACTGATTCTCTTCTGTAAGAAGGCTATTTGCCAGTCTTGGGTCACATATAGCAGTAAAGTTAGCTCATACTGACTCTGTAAATGTTGTCTGTAAAGGATGTTAACAATATGGATTGACTATTTCTCTTTGATCAAGGCTTTAGAATGTGTGAAACCAATAGATGACTGCAGAACTGGCAAAGCACCAGAAAACCAGAATAAAAACAGATACCAAGATATTCTTCCATGTAAGTATTGACACTAATGAGAACATACGTTCAGTAAACAAAGATATTGGAAAACATAAAACCAGCTATAATACTGAGATGTAGAAGGCAAATCTCACCACATCTTTAGTCAGAAATCTCCACTAATAATGAAACGTACTGAGATTTTTGTAAAAGATGTAGAGTTCACATAAGGATGTCTGCATTGCACAGTATGTGATTTTCTGAAATATCCTATATTCCACAAGGCAGGACTTGGTCTGGTAGGGGGCCAGCTGTCCTGGTGTTTATTTTGCCCTTTCTCAGAGATATTAATCTACTACATTTTTGTGGGCAAGTGTAACTTGAACTATAATAGCAGTTCTTTAAATCTATTTAAAGGTACAGTTACATCTACTGCTTGTGACACAGTGGAATTCTGAAAAGCACAGTGGAAGTCATGGAGTTGCGTAGCTCTTGGAAACATAAAGATTCTTCCAGAAATAATCGAAAGCATAATATCCAGCCAGAGCTTTCAGCTGCTCAGCTCTGATCTGAGTCACAAACAAGTTTCATCACCGATGAGAAATCATTTTAGAAGAAAGATTTGAGTCTAAGAGCTGAATGACTGCTGTTAACAAGGATTTCCAAAAAATAATGTACTGCCCAATGATTCCCTGAGAGGTGTCGTGACAGAAGAAGAACACTTTCTGGACCCTTGATGACTTTATAAACTGCAGCAGCAGGACAACACATGCAAAATTTGTAGCACAGTTACCCCTCTATGTTAGTGATACAGCATACATTCTCAGAAGTTTCCTGTTTCATAACACCAATATCCAGTGACAGTGTTCCCATGACACACATTAAAAGCAGTGTTGGATATGGTATTTTGAATTACTGCCAAACAATTCTATGATAGTTAGATGGCTTGTCAGAGTGTTACACAAGTATCTTAAGAGAAATAAATCTGCAGTGAACCATACAATTTATCTGTGAGATTTCCTATTAGCCGTGATTAATAGCCAAATGTATTCTAAAATCCAGAGGCATACTTTGCTGCTAGAGGCTGAGATTCCCCGTCTCCTGAGTGCTGGAGATGGTAGAACTGTGTTTGAGATCTACAGCTGAAATAGCAACTTTCTGTTTCTGTACAGATGATAAGACACGAGTTCCTCTGGGAGAAAAGAATGACTACATTAATGCAAGTTACATTCGAATGAAAGTTGGAGAAGAGGAACATTTCTATATCGTAACCCAAGGGCCTCTGCCATCCACTATGGCTGATTTCTGGCAAATGGTCTGGGAGAGTGAATCAGATACAATTGCCATGATGACAAAAGAAGTGGAGCTAGAGCAAGTCAAATGTCATCGATACTGGCCTGCACCTCCCCATAGCTCTATAGACCTGGCTAATTTCCATCTCAGGCTAGACAATTACCAGATTCTGGAACACTTCATAATTAGAACAATAGAAATGATCAACAAGCAGGTAAGTTGAGTATAATTAATAATTTAATATATGATGAAATTGCTTAGATATCTATACATGATTAAATACTAGTGGTATTATTTGCTTTTTCTCTTATATTTGCTCAGTATTTTTTAGGAATGTAAAAATGTGAAGAACAGACATGAAATTAGGATTAATGAGATGCTGCTTCTTTGCTCATCACACAAGCAATGGATCCAACATTACATACATTTGGACAAGAATGTCCAAAAATTAGTCCTTTAATAGTCACAGAGCTGGTGTGTTCAGTGTTTTGCAGAGTTGCTTACTGTTCTCATGAAATCAAATCAGTAAGGGCTGCTGGAGTGTCTTCTTTTTTTTTTTGTAATGGTGGCTTTTATTTTGTAATGGTGGCTGGAAGGAAAGAGGAGAAGAAGGTGGTTTTCATCCTAGAATTTAGAACAAATAATACTTCTTTCATTCATGAAAAGACATGAATACACGTGAAACTACAAATCTAGCAGCAAAATTTTAGAAACCTAACAAATACAGAATCCACATGTAAGAACATGGAAATCAGGACAACTATAAGTCCATCAGTCTTGTCTCAATATTAAGTAAAGCTTTGCATATATTTCTACAGGACTTATTAACTAATGGAATAATTAGAAGATTCATACTTGTGCCAGAATAACTTGATGTCTGTTTGCATCAAGAAAACAATTTATCTTGATGAAGAAAACACAATTCACCTGATGTCACTGAGTGTGAAGTATAGTAAAGCAATTGATATGAGTCTTCCCAAAAGATTATTCAGATGGGAACATGGGCCATTATAGGTGACTGTTTCAATGAACATGTTATATTTGCTATGTTTGTCTTGGACCAGTATCAAAGAATTACAGAAAGCCACAGGCTTACTTCAGCAGAAATCCAGACATTCATTCAGATCCTCCCGATGGTAAAATCCCCAGTAGTTCTTTTCCATTCAGCTTAACATGTTTTGGCAGGTTGACAACAAGAAGTACTGTCCCAGGACCAGTCAATATTTTATCTACATTACAATTATTCTTGTAAGCATTTTTTTAGTTGATTTGCTTTGTATGTTAGGGTATCTAATCACAAATTGTTCTTTTATAGCTGATGACAGACAGAACAGAATTTACGATTTTACTATCCTGGCTATCATATTACTACTCTTCTATTAGTATATCTTAGTTCAGTTAGAAAAACAATTTAGGTAAAAAGTATTGGAATGTTCTAACTTAACAATTTTCATTTCTTTGTTTCTAACCATAAGTAAGATAACTACATCCTTTAGGGCAACAGCAATTTCAGTGTCTCATCAAAATTCTATGAAGTAAATTTCCTAGGCCTGTGTCTTCTGAGTGTATTTCTGAAAACCTGAAAGAAACCTTAACAGAGTCAAGTATGAAAAGCTGAAGAATTGTAGTATAGACAAACAATTGACTAAGAATGAGGCTGAAGGGAAATTTATCAGTGGAATTCCTTGAAAACTGGTCTTAAGACTGATCATTTTTAACATTTCTGTTCTTTCTCTTCCAGACAGAAGAGAAGCGCATTATAAGTCATTTGCAGTTTATCAGTTGGCCAGACCACAATACTCCCAAACTGCCTGAGCAGCTGGTAAAATTTATTTGTTACATGAGAAAAGCTCACAGTACAGGACCTATTGTTGCTCACTGCAACACTGGCGTTGGAAGAAGTGGAGTTTTGCTGTGTGTTGAAGTTCTGCTCAGCTATATAGAAAAAGATTTATGTGTAAGTATCAAACAGCTCATTATTCAGTATTGAAAAACGGGTATGGATGTTAGCAACATGTAGGGGTGTCTTAGACCAAAGTAATTCCTGGTAGAATTCATCATAACAAAATGGAATAAACCCAGCTTTTGTTGTTTTAAACAATACAGATAATAGCTACAAATACAGTATTTGTAAAAGAACTGAGTCATGGCTTCCCTATCTGAACATGCTTAAATCTTCTTTATAACTTGCATGTCAACAAAACAAAATCTGTTCTCTTCTGGTAGTTCAACATCAAGCAGATAGTGAGAGATCTGAGAGATCAGCGTTTTGGCATGATCCAAACTAAGGTAAGTTCTCGATATTCAATTAGATTGTGATTTTTTAAAAGCCTCAATTAGTGGTACATAACCACATACTTTGATAAATCTTGGGCTTAAGGCATAATTTTAGACCTCTCATTTGAGGAAAATAACAGCCTTCCAAGCAAGTGGTGTCTAGACTTAAATATGAAAGGTCTGTCCCTTACTAACTAATTGAAATAAAAGCAACGCACCAGTATAGTACAGTACTCCCTCCCTCTTCCCCCCTTTTTTTAAGCAAAAAGAAAAGCAGTAATCAGCAACAAAACTGGTGAGATACTATAAACACTAACCTGCAAAATTGCAGCCTTCAGCTGAATTCTTACTATTGCTGAGTTATCATCACCTTCTACCGTTGAGTTAAACCTACCCCTGAAAAGAGTTTTTACACAGGAAAAGACAAGATACTGCTAACTCAATTTAGAGCAACCAGGTAGTGGGAAGAACAGCCAGACAAGATTAGGATAAGTTTTTCCTATAGGCAAATATTTAAGTACATGCTTTGATATATTTTTCTTTGGAATAATGATTGAACATATGATTAAAATTAAGCAAATAGATAACCTTCGTTGACCTAAATGAGACAGCACATGCTTACAGGCACTGCATTGAATAGGAAAGTATTCTTGAGCTTTTACAAGTGATGAAACAAAAAAAACAAGGATGGTTTTAAATATCTAAATTTTTATATCCATGTTACAAAGATCCTGCTGTTATAAACAGCACTTCATCCAGTCCATCTTTCTTTGTTTAGAATTTGTGTTGAATATAACTGGGTGTTTTACACTGGTGTCTCTGCGTACAGGATGAGTATTTATTCTGTTACAAAGTTGTGCTGGAAGTCCTTCAGAACCTTCAAGCAATGGATTCCTACTGACTGCAGTATGACTCTTCTCTGCTGTTATTCCCATTGGACTCCAGGGATCACTCAGCAATTGCTTTAAAGAGATGTCAAGCCAGCACAGACAAGTGTTATATGACATGCTTTTTTAGATTACTCTGATTTCTAAGGCATTTCAAAACCTTGCTTAACATGTCCTGGGTAAGTCATTTAAATCTTGGGTTACAGTTTGGAGAAACAGTCAGCCAGCATTCCAACACTGCTGTTAAATAGCCATGAATAATTTGCATGTTCAGTGTAATAACATACTAGTTGTTAGGAAAATGTTTTGGGACTGTGACGAGTAGACAGCAGTCTTTATTTTCCAGAGGGCAACTATAAAGATCCAAGATTCTGTTGGTGTTGGTGGAAGATTAGTTGTCCCTTACATATTGTTGAGCATTCTTTGCTTCTGGACTGCAAATCAGTACTTTCTACAGTAGTTATGCTTTTGTGTGGACGTACTCAATTTGTTTACCCTTGGTTGCCTGAACAATGTAGAATAATTTCTAGTCATTGCTCCAGCCCAAGAATTTATACCACCATCACTAGACATCTTAAATCAAGAAACTCACAGAAAAATAGGATGCTTTTAAAAGCTAGATGGTTCTCTTCAAAGCAGAAGGCTTGCTCTAATTGGATGGAATATTATTTTTTCCCAGCAATATGAACAACTATAGACAGCATCACTATTCCTTCATTCTGCATCCATGTAAAAAGGAATGCAATACTAAACCAGATGAAATGACTGTGTATGCATTGTGGCACACATACACATTTCATCTTCCCCTGATCCTTTCCACTGATTAACTATCCTGTAATTCTTACCTAGGATCTGAACCAATCTATGGGCAGTACGACTGGTTTCAGTAGGGGCTGAACCAGATCTTTAAATTAGAGTAAATCACTCTCTGTATAGTTTATTTCTCTTGTAAAAAATGTTTCTTTTAGTGTGCACTTGGGTCGATTTGAGCAGAAATCTGCTGCTCGAGTTTGTAAGATTGTAGCTGTTTCTGTAGTACTACTTCTCAGTCCTTTATCACAGAATCACAGAATCACAGAACGGTAGCGGTTGGAAGGGACCTCTGTGGGTCACCTAGTCCAACCCCCCTGCCGAAGCAGGGTCACCTACAGGAGGCTGCACAGGACCTCATCCAGGTGCGTTTTGAATATCTCCAGAGAAGGAGACTCCAAAACTGCTCTGGGCAGCCTGTTCCAGTGCTCCATCACCCTCAGAGTGAAGAAGTTCTTCCTCATGTTCAGAC